ATAATTAAATAATAATAATAATAAAAGTACAACATTTAATACTACTTAACTTAACAGAACTCTTTCGCAGTGGAGGTAGAAAACGCCAGTTAGCTTGAAACAATTTGCTGTTTTAAACACCTGATCACTGACACTGTAGGTTTAAAAAAGAAGTCCTGGTGAAATATGTCGCTGAATACTCGGTGAACCACTCCAACAAAACTTAAGAGGAGCAATTCCTCCTAAGTTATATTTTTGTTGATACTTTCCGCTGAGTCGACTCTTATATCTTTCTTATAATCGTTACTTTCGGAAGTCGATAAAGTACTCTAAACATTCCAAATAAGACGACCTACTGTCTGAAGTGCAACCGTAAACAATGTCCCGGAAATCTCGCGAGATTAGAGCTTCCTCGACTTTGCTGCAAAAGAGCGACAGTAAGTTAGAAAACTGCGAGGTATTCGATACGTAGTACTTGGAAACAAATTCATGGACACATAAAGCAATAAAAAATTTAGCTCTTCTGAGCCAAAGGCTCAAAGAGCTAATAATACTATCATGGCCATTTGTGCGGTGTGCGTAAACTTTTTGGAATATGGGCCATACCTCAAGAATCCCTTGGTTAATTTTTGTAAAATTTGTCATAGAGAATCTTTGGCCCAAGGGCTTTCATTTATACTAAGAAATGGGGATGTGACCCGTCAACAAAGGGAGATAATTAGGGAAATGAAAATAAAAGTAGTGGCTGCTAAAAAATCTTCTTCTTATGAACCACTAGGTAGATTTTCACCAAACTAATGCATAAGGATGATGATATGTTGTAGATTAAAATTGTTTAAGGCATTTCAAGGGCGTGATCTCAAGGTCACTTCAAAGTTGACCTAAAATTACGTTTTGTCAAAACTTTGATATTTTTCCCACTATAAGGACTAAGATTATCAATTTTTTTTTCAGTTGATGCATCTTAGGACTTCATGTCGACTCAAAAGTAGGTCATAGTGACCTCTTTTTTTTTTTAATTTTGCAGGTATTCATTTTCAATTTGATTTCGATTCATATCTTGGAAACTTTGGAGCCTATGATCATCAAAACTTGTCAGTTTATGCATCATGGGGCCTTGGAGTGTGTCAACCAAAGACAAGGTCACCTTGACCTACTTTCGAAATTTGATGGTCAATCATTTTCAAAATATTTAAGGTCATTATTTTAGACACTATGAGGTTAAGAATCATTAAATCTTGTAAGTTGATGCATCTTGGGGTCGTGAAACATATTTATCAAAAAAGGTCACAATGACATACTTTTTGAATTTTGCAGGTATTCATTTTCAAATTGTATAAGAGGCATATTTTGAACTCTGTGAAGCCTGTGATCATCAAACCTTGTCAGTTGATGCATCCTAAATAAGGCCTAGGAGTATATCAACCAAAAAGTAGGTCACAGTGACCTACTTTTGAAATATTATGACTATATTTAAATATTTCAGGTACTAATTGTCTTTGAATCATCAATTTTTTAAGTTGATGCATCTTAAGCCCTCAGAGTGTGCAACTAAAAAGTAGGTTACCGTGACCTACTTTTGAAATTTCATAGCTATACCCAAATATTTCGGATAAGAGACTTAGATTCATCAAACTTTGTCAGTTGATGTGTCTTTGGTCTTTGGAGTATTTTAACCAGAAAATAGGTCACTGTGACCTACTTTTGGAATTTCATGGCTATATTTAAATATTTCAGATACTACCTGGCTTAAAATCATCAGACCTTGTCAGTCAAAGCATTTCTGGTCCTCGGAATGTGTCAACTAAAAAGTAGGCCACGGTGACCTACTTCTGGAATTTTAGGCAATATCTAAATATTTCAAATAAAAAGAGGCTTAGAATAGAAGTGATGGTGTTGTACAAAAATATAAAAAAAAAAAAACGATTCTAAGCCCTTGGGCCTCTTGTATTATAGACCTATGAACTTTCCTGAAATATGCTCGTCTTAAAAAAACAGTTCAATTCTGTTGTTCAATGTACCCTTCTTTGTTCTTGAATATTTCACAATTTCAGGGGATTTAAAAGATAGTTTATGACTTCCGATATAACTACACTTTGGCCATCCTCAATCAAAGAAAGTACAATTGTTATCAGTAGCAATCGACAATTTTACAACTAGTGCATTTCATTAATTATATAAATGTGCTGTTTCAGTAATTTTTATCACTATTTGATTTCTTTCTTTTCTTTTCATACGCACAAACATACGACACATATACAAGGTTATTTCTCCTATCTCGATTTTAACGTAGATTTAATACATGTACTATTTACTCTATGTATTGTATCTTGATACCGTGAATCGATAGTTGATAAAGTTACCGACTCGCCGGTGGTGCAGTTTAAAATCATATACTAACACGTGCTTTAAATGCAGTTAAGTAGACAATGCATTAATCATCTGGTTGGACATGCTTAAGAGGGACACCAGATATCGTATCTAAATGTCACTGGATCGGGTGATACGGTAGTCATAGGCATGTGAAAGGCAGGCATCATATAAAAGAGGGAAATGCGTACTTATGGCATGTAATAACCTGAAGTCTCTGATGAGACTGTAGCTCTACTGGTTTCTACTTATGACAAGGAAAAGCAGCATTTAGATTGAAATTATGGCAACGTCAATGAATAAAATTACATGTATGGACCTTTGTTTATTCCTTTGTGTGACATGTTATCTTGAAATCGGACTCAAACTGAGACAGAGTAGCATTTGGGGAAAAATCACAGAAATTTCTATTTTAGTAGCCATGGCAACAACATTTGTTTAAATCAAAATTCGATTTACGAAATGGCGTTTCTTAGTATAATTCTGTTTGTGTTGAAGCTTTTTCTAAAACAATAGAAGAAGTAGCATTTTGAAAGAATCTAACTGGAATTTCTATTTTAAGTAACCTAGCATCACCCTTCGTCAAAATCCAACACCGATATATAGAATTATGTACCTTAGTGTATTCTACTTTTGTACAAAGTTTTATTGAAACCAAACACAGTTTTGTAGGAGGGGCAGTGTTTTGAAAGAATTCACAGAAATATCTTAATTTTAGAAGGTATATTGCAATACCATTCGTCAAAATCAAATCCCAGCAAAAAGAATTAGGCAACTTGGTGTAGTCTACTAGTTTAACATGTTTTATTGAAATCGGAACAAACTGAAGAAGGAGTAGCGTTTTAAAAGAATTGAAAAATATGTCTTAAATATAATTATAATAAAAATGGCATTCCGGTTCGTCAAATCAAAAACGATCATAGAATTATGCATCTTAGAGTTGTCTAAGTATGTAGAAGTTTTATTGAAGTCGTCCTAAACTTCAGGAGGAGTGGCATTTTGGAAAATTGTTTACAGTCAAACAGAAACGAAAGGACAAACGATGGACACCTTACTATTACATAATTTCTTCTGAATTTTGATTAGATAAAAATTAGTTTTACTGCCCGGGTTTTTGTTTATAGTTCATACATAAATCACAGAGTATTGGGCAAATAGTAATCTAAGCTATTTCCTTTCTCAATGGGTGCAATTATGGATGCAAAATTCGAATATTACATAATCAATTTGGTGGAAAAACTTCGGAACATGTCAGAAGGTTGTGAGATTCCAGTCCTAATCTGGACAGAATTGCATACATATTATTACAAGAAAGAAACGTAATGATGTAAATCTTATACGGTACCAATTTTGATGCACCAGATGAGCATTTCGACAAATTATGTCTCTTCAGTGATGCTCATGCCGAAATGGAAAATCCGAAATATTTAAATCTAAAAAACAAACTGAAGAGATGAAAAATGGGTGCCAAAGACTTTCAACGACTTTATTAGACAAAGTAGACTAAAGCACTTATACTACTGAAATTAATTACGTACTATCCATATTTTCCAATGCATACCTAAAAATTAAGAATGAGAATAACATAAAAAAAATCTTTAAAAAGACCCTCTATGCACTAAAGGAATTTTTGTTTGTTTGTTTGTTTTTTTTTTTTTTTTTTTTTTTTTTTTTTTTTTTTTGGGGGGGGGGGGGTTGAAACTGAGAAAATTAAATTGTACAAAAGTGTAAATATTGAGCTCATCTATTTCATTTTCAACATAAGATGCCTGAGATTTACCCCCAGAAAAAATATTCTCGGATACTGAAGCATTGATGAACAGAAATCACTGTTGTTTACTCAATGTGAATATACATGCAAATAAAGATAACTATTTATCTTGGCCTGTAAAGAATGGTTAAGAATGCTTTAATTGATTACAAATTGAGGAATACGCTGTAAATTTCAATTCATCTTACTTTAGATCAAAGGGCAGTCTAATTGCGTAAAAAATACCTTAGAATCAAGACTTTTTTGTGTGCAGTGCATAGAGGGTTCTTCAATTCATTTTCTTTCAAGTTCGATTTAAGGACAGATGATACAAACAAAAAATGGATGTCTGGATAGGTATATATATTTTTTTTAACTTATTTTGGTTGTAAATAATTAGAATGACAAATTTCTAAAATATTAAGAAATTGCAAACTTTCTACGATGCTTAAAATTCCACCTCTCTGCAACCACCCTTATTAATCTATACAAATTTTTGTCACTTATAATCGCATCATTGCGAAACTTTGAATGAAAAAATAAAAATCTAGGCGGTCAAACTTATTTATTTTTCTTATATAAACATGATTTAAGTTGTTAGTATTAAGATTTTTTGATAAAGGTTTGTTTGTATCATCTGTCCTTAAGTATGTTATATCTTACATGTAATTCAGCAATATCAGCTGATGGGTTAAATTATTCCGCCAGTAGCACACCTCTATCACCTAGTACCACCCCTGACTCTCTCTCCAGTAGCACACCTCTATCACTTAGTACCACCCCTGGCTCTCTCTCCTCTCTATATTCATAGTGAGTGTGGAGTGGACTTGGATACTGCCCTAATGTTATCTTACTGAATGCCAAACAGATTTTACAGCCGGATCCAAAGCTTACATGATGCCTCCAATATACCAGAGCATATCACGTCTCCAACTGAAAGGCTACAGAAGCAGAAGTGTTTTCTTCTTCAGCAAAGGAAAATGGCAAGCTTAGTCGGAAAATGGAGCTTTGTTTCAGCCGATAACATGGAAAATTATATGGAAGCATCTGGTATGATTGTATTGTATATTTAGTTTTCATTTCATTGTATTAAACGGTCATTAATTTTTTAACAGTAAGAAAAAAGTTACTGGATACAAAACTATCTCAGGTAATAGTACTGTTTTTTTAAAACAAGCTTAAAAACTTTTTTTACAATAAAGATTTTAAACTACTGAGAATATTTCGGAAGGGGGTGTTGTCGGAATCTTAACGTGTACTCGAACTTTGTAATTACAGTTCTGATAAAATTACAGTTTTATCCTAACACCATTACCACCGTTCGTTTCTTACTGTCAAAGGATTAATATCTTTTTTGTACTTCAGTGTTATAAAATAACTATCATATTCTATATATGGCATAACTTGTTACAATTAAGGGCTATAGTACTTGTATAGTGCAGCAAACGCATAGTGCTTATAAATACACCCCAACACTTGCTAATACTTTTCCAGTATAATTAATCTTAATGCATTCGATAACAGGCTAATGTGACCTTAACAGGTATTTTGTCATTCACCCAGGGGCACTGTAACTAATATAAACCTTCATGACACAAAAAGGGTCAAGCGGTCAGTCTTCTCCTATTACAGACATTCATTATTGCCAAATCTCTCTCTCCCTCCTCCCCCCCCTCTCTCTCTCTCTCTCGTTGCGTGCTTAAAAACGAAACAAAAATACATCACACATATGTTTCCAAGATAATATATTAATCAATAATTATACATTTATAATGATCACTGCGAATTAGTTAAACATTTACACGGCCCTCTGTGAGAGAACCATCTGTTCATACAATAAATAACGTACACCGCCAGCACGTGTCCTCAGCTTCTCCAATTCCCTTAGCTACTTATTCCTCTCGCTGTGTCCTTACGGTGGACACGATTCTATAAACTGGAGATTTCGCTTTATGAATAATACTTAAATATTGTGCTAAAACCTCGAGTTTTGACACCGATGCTACAAGGTCAAGTCATGATACATGTATATTCACACTCGATCCATATATATAAACACATTCCAGCATATCGGCCAGTTTTGTTTATATTGATAATCTGTAGATTCCATCCAGCGTTCTGCCTCTGTCATACAGTGGAACCAGACGGAGCTCTCTTCTGGAAAGCTTAATTTAACGTATATATGTATCACATGCTGGACAGTTTTGTCAGGAATTTAATTTCATTCATTTATTGATAACAATAACAATAGTAATATATATATATAGAGAGAGAGAGAAAGAGAGTTCCTCGTAAACATTATTGTCTGGAAATTAATACAAGTTTGGAAAAACTGGGAGGGGTCGTCTTCGTGTAGTGTAGAGTCCTGCAAAAACGCTATATAAAGAACCTAGTAATTCATAGAGAATAAATGTTGCCAACTTCTTAAATATATTTTATATTAAATTTGTTTTCAGGTGTACCAGAAAACTTACGAGAAATCGCTCGTACAAATCAGCCAAATATGGAGATCAGCAACAGCGGAGAAACGTGGACAATCAAAACAGTGGTAGGCGAGAAAATGAAAGATTCCACCTTCAGATTAGGCGAGGAATTTGATTCCGTTTCACTCACAGGACAACCTTTGAAGGTCAGATATGATTTGGTCAAATACTTCGTCTGGCTAAATGAATGTACATAAGCTAAATTAATTATATTTGCCATTTGCTTAGTTTCTGTCTGTAGAATCTAAAGATGGTGTAATTGGTATCTTGCATGTTATAGCTAATGGTTTTAAATTGTACCATTTATATACTATACGTATATAATAAAATTAAACCCATCGGATCGATTTCGATGCAAGACAGCTGCGGGCTTTTGTCAACTTTATTATTGCATTTTTTACAAAACGTCGCAGTTTCCTAGGCTTTACCGCAAACTTTATATTACAGACATTGCAAATTTACATCCTAACTTCTCTGTGCTGGAAGCTCGTTAGTAGGGCTTCAATTGCTTAAGGGTCTTTTTAATTTGTTCACAAATTACTAAACGTAGTTTTATAACAATCTAACAAATAACATCGAATTAGCAACCCCCAAAGCATCCACGAATGTTCGCCTACCTTCAGAGAAAACGGGGGGTAATTAAATTTGGTCCTATTTTTTTTTAATTTTTAACCCCTCCCACCTTCCAGTTTATGTCATTTGAGTAACGTGAATTGCTTGTTGCTATCTGTTCTTCACATATAATGTCACGCGATGTTCAAGGACCCACGTGTAGGTCCCTCCGACGTTTGATAATGTTTGAAAAATTTCTTCTTCAACTCATTATAACCAAAGTTTATATTCTATAGGTGAAAGGAAACAAAACATTTAAAATTGATAGTCTTTCCCCTTATGGACCTGAGGTGTGGGATTAAAACCATTAAGACTACTGGACACCTATCACGTATAATGTAAATGATAATGATTAATTTGTCCTCTACTAAAATTATGATTCACCCGCAAGTCAAAGGTTTAGATAGTAGATTTGGACTTCAAGTAAATTGCATGGTCTAAATAAGGGCAGTGGCTCTTGAAGGTCACCTGATTAGCATGAGTTTCCTTGATATGACCAATTCTGCTGGAACTCTCAAACCATGTAATTGATGAGGACTCTATTTTTACTATCATATTCATGAACCTTGTCCCTAGGTTAGGAGTAGAAAAGAGTGCATTTTGAATACCTGATCCACTTAGTCCCAGTTTGAGCTCTGCATGTGGATACACATTTCAAATAATTGGCAAAGACCAAACAGCTTACTGCCACCTTGCATTAAGTCTGCTAAATGCTTAATAGCTAGAAATAAATAAAAATTTCAACTTAAAACTTTATAATAAGTGTTTAATATATGATTAATTAAGCCCCACAATATGGCCTCTGGACCAAGGGGAAATGAATTAAAATTTTGGTAGAGGATAGCTGTTTGTTATGATCATGCAAACATTTTGTATGCTAGAAAACCAGATGCAAAGAAGATTTTCAAAGATGCCATTTCAAAATATGACCAACTTATCCCAAACCTAGGGTCTGAACCCTAGACCAGGGCCATGAAGTTTACAATTCAATCTTAAAGAGTCAAATATTAATGACATTAGTGATGTCAAGGTGGCTGAAGCCATTTTAAAGAGTTGCTGTGTGATTCTCAGTAGCCATGCAGGTCCATTTGCCATCTTGTTTCCTAGTTGGTCTCTTATTTTCAAAACTTTCTATTTTTTATCAAATTTGGTTTTGAATAGAGATACAGATAATCAACAATTTTCATTTTTTGTACAAGTGTACTTGGATATGTTTTAGGGCAATTGATATACTATTGTAAAACTGCATCCTATTAGCTTTATGCTATGCAGGGTCAAAGTATTTCTTCAAGTACATTGTAGTTTCGTAATGTTCTGTTGAATTTTAGTGCACAGTCACATTAAATGGAGAAGAAATGACAGAAACGCAGAGGGCTGGAGATGTTATTGTCACAATCACAAGAAAAATAGAAAATAATCAACTACTGTCAGTGAGTATTAGAAAATAATCATCTACCATCAGGAAGTATAAGAAAATAATCATCTACCATCAGTGAGTATAAGAATATAATCATCTACCATCAGTGAGTATTAGAAACTTATCATCTACCATCAGTGAGTATAAGAAACTAATCATCTACCATCAGTGAGTATTAGAAAATAATCATCTACCATCAGGAAGTATGAGAAAATAATCAACTACCATCAGTGAGTATAAGAAAATAATCATCTACCATCAGGAAGTATAAGAAAATAATCAACTACCATCAGGAAGTATAAGAAAATAATCATCTACCATCAGTGAGTATAAGAAAATAATCATCTACCATCAGTGAGTATTAGAAAATAATCATCTACCATCAGTGAGTATAAGAAAATAATCATCTACCATCAGTGAGTATTAGAAAATAATCATCTACCATCAGGAAGTATAAGAAAATAATCATCTACCATCAGTGAGTATTAGAAAATAATCATCTACCATCAGGAAGTATAAGAAAATAATCATCTACCATCAGTGAGTATTAGAAAATAATCATCTACCATCAGTGAGTATTAGAAAATAATCATCTACCATCAGTGAGTATTAGAAAATAATCAACTACTGCATGGATATTAAAAAATAATCAACTACTTCAGTAAGTATATAAGAAAATAATCATCTACCATCAGGAAGTATAAGAAAATAATCATCTACCATCAGGAAGTATAAGAAAATAATCAACTACTGCATGGATATTAAAAAATAATCAACTACTTCAGGAAGTATAAGAAAATAATCATCTACCATCAGGAAGTATAAGAAAATAATCAACTATACTGCATGGATATTAAAAAATAATCTACTACTTCAGTAAGTCTAAAAAAATAATCAACTATTATCAGGAAGTATAAGAAAATAATCAACTACTGCATGAATATTAAAAAAATAATAAACTACTGCAATGAGTATTAGAAAATAATCAACTATGTTCAGTGATTATAAGAAAATAATCAACTACTGTCAGTGAGTAATAGAAAATAATCAAAAACTGTCACTGAGTATTTGAAAATAATCAATTACTGTCAGTGAGCATTAGAAAATAATCAACTACATGTACTGTCAGTGAGTATAAAAAAACAATCAACTACTGTTGAGTATTAGAAAATAATCAACTACTGTCAGTGAGTATAAAAAAAACAATCAACTACTGTTGAGTATTAGAAAATAATCAACTACTAGCTGTCAGTGAGCATTAGAAAATAACCAACTACTGTCAGTGAGTAATAGAAAAACAACTACTGTCAGTGAGTATTAATACACATTTGTATTGTGCATTCAGCATTTCTTTCTCACAGATCTTAAATCAAATGAATATTTCTAAAAAAGATATTTGGATGAGATGTAGATATGTTGCAATGGATATGTATTGAACAGAAAACTAAAGACCTGAATATGTATTTTTCTGTTAAAGAACTACACTCTCCATATAAATGTTCAAGTCTTTCCTTTAATTAACAATTCGAACATCCTAGCTCTGTATTAGTACATTATTAATTTTGTTTCATTATTTTTTCTTGTTGCAGACTATGACCATTAATGGTGTCTCTGCAGTGGTGAAATTCCAGAGAGCTTAGGCAATAGGCTTCATGTAGACCATATAATTTCTCTGTCATTTTTGCAATCAAAATTTTATGTGGCCATATAGTAGTGACAGTATAGTGATTTTCTCTGCAACTTTTCTGCATAATATACACATAAATAAAATCTGTCATTAAAAAAAATTCCTCTTTTTTTTTTTTAATTTTGTAAGAGTGGGGTAGAATAAATTACTTTTAAAAATACATGTATCTGTCAGTCATTTAAAAAATTGACAGAAACCTGTAGCATATACAATATGTTCTCTCTAGAGCTTTTCAACATTGCTGAAAAAATCCATCTGGATAGTTCTTTAGTTGAAGAGTTATTTAAGGCTTAAGGTCAGATCACCAAGTGGATATGATGCAGTAAAAATGTTCTAGATATAAAATAAACTTGCATGGAAGCAGGATAGATATGACTGAATCAACAAGAATATACAACATAAGGCCATTATCAGTTCAAAATTTGAGTTAATCATTATCACTTGGTAATGTATAAAAAAAAAGTTTATCTTGTCACTTCAAGTCTTTCTTCAACAAAAAAGAAAATTTTTAACAACCACGTTCTGAGTTCAATAATTCTTAATAAACTTTCATTGGAAAGAGAAGAGCTGCCCATCACCAATGATTTTTTAGGCTCCCTATTGCAAGTTTGGTAAAACTTAATTTGCTAAGAAATCAAATATATGAAGAGTTTACACTTTGTACATGAAGAACAATGGAATACAACAGACAAACCAGAAGTCTCTGAAGTGACCATAGCTCTACTGGATTGAATTTGTAACAGTGACTGTTTAAGACAGGAAGTTGCCTTGGGATTTGTACATTTTTTTAGCTTCATATCTGCAAAATTATAATGAACAACTTAAGGTTTTCTAAACTTGTACCATATTACCAGGTACTCAACCAGACAAAAACTATTGGAGGAGTAACAATCAGAAATCAAGAGCAAAAAGAAAAGTTAACAGAATTATTCATGGATGAATTATTTATCTTAATGTACTCTATCCTACTGATGCAAGTTTTAATTAATTGAAATCATACTGAAGTTCAAAACTGTTACAAAACTGAATACCATTTTGAAAAAATTGAACAGATTTAGACTATTACTAGTAACTTTGGCACACTCTTCAAATACATCAAAAACCAAAAAGACAAACAGATCAAAAACCTTATGTATATGCAACTTAAGAAATTTAAAGTTGGTTGACATGATACCAATGTATTAGCTCTTCTGGTCTCTTACAAGTACTGTCTGACATCCAGCATTCACACACAATTTCTACAATTCAAACCAATTTTTTTTTCGTATGCACATTTATTGAATACAAATCAAGTCATCACAAAGTTTTGAATATATTAAATCAAGTCATCACAAAGTTTAGGTGCATGTATAAAAATTGGTATTACTAGGTGGCTAGCCAGTAGAGCTAAGTCATTTCATCTGACTCATTCACTAGATAAATTACTGAAATCTTACTCTTTGTATGATTAAGTAAACAAGAAGCAGTTTTGTTTTGTTTTTTTATGAAGAAAAGATTAATCATCCAGTTTTTTAATGTTTTTTTCTGTATATCACTTTTAATCACGAGAACTTTATTTTCACGTAGTTACGCAAGGCTGTCTGCTCGCGAAAATTTAATTCTCACATAATTCTTTAATTTAATTCTCTCATTATATCAAAATTTTATAATAAAAGATTGTACAAACAATAGTAAAAATTTGTGAAAATTTTGTCTCGCTTATAAGTAACAAATGACTAAATAAGGTGTTGAAAAAATTTTGTGATCTACAGTATAAAAGAACATGTATTAAAAAACAAAATACAAAGAGTATAGATATGACAGACTCATATCTGACAAGAATTATAGTATCAATCACAGTTATTGGCATTATTTTGGTAAATTCATATTTTAAAAAAAGCAAAAAGGTTTACCCGTATAAAAGCTGAAAAAGAAAACTTCAACTGGATAAATCTATAACAATTAATTGTTAAATGTACAACCATTGTGATCATAAACATGCAGTGTAATTCTCCATTTACATGACTGTATTCAAACTAATCTTGGTTATTTGTAAGTTAATTATCTTTAATAACATTATTCCTAACAAGAATACTGGAAGACTAGACAGAAAATTGCAAATCATACTAATCAGCACATATATCTGCAGAGGAATGCCTGCACTTAAAACATTAACTCCAGAGATCGAGTGTTTATATATTTTACTGTTTTTACCCAGCAGCCTTTGATATGCCCTTCTTCTTAAACCATTCCTCACTTTTATCTGCTGCTATAGCCTAAAGATATAAAAAAAATTTGTAATTTAGCAGTTAAATTAGAAACAAATGTCAAGTCAGAGATCAAAGGATACATTTTGTATAATGAGTTCTTGGATCCACATTTAAACATACAAACCACATGACAAAAATAAAACAGTTAGTACGTCTGCTGTAGGCGGTGATAATTTTGTGATCTATTTTCTCATTACTCCATATGGCAAATGACAGAGCTAATTCCGTGTGGAACAACAGTAAATAACAGAACAGATGACATATAAATTGAGTTTTGATTCAATCACAAACATATTCTGCATACACTTTTATTACACATTCACAGTTTAAAGTACATGTGTATATATATATATTCTTTAGTTACTTGGGTGAACAATTCCTCTCTGTTTTCATCTGATATCTTGCAATCCTCATCCTGAGATGTAGGTCGTGATTTAACCTTTAAATATCTTTCAGATTCATCTATTGAACTACAGTTCAAAAACCCAATCTAAATCAAATTTAGATCATAGCATCTTTAGATAAAAGGAGAGGGGAGGATTAAAAACTGTGATCCTTTTGCTCTTCTCCCCTCTTAAGACCTAAGAAATGTTTATTTAGTACATAAACTGTGTGTTTGATTATAAAAGGCAGTGAGCCCTCTGCCACAATTGTATTTTGATACATGTATCCCCTGAATCAAAGCTAAGGCTTCTGAGTGGGGCCAATTTGATCAAATATTGAACATGGATTTTTTTTTTTTTTTGAAAATCTTAACTCATATGCTAGTGCTGAACAGCTATGCATTATAAAAATGAGCAATGAACATTCTTTATTCAAATCCCCTGGGTCGCAGGTGAATACATGACGGAAATTAAAAACAAGTCAAAGGGTAAGCTATTGATTCAAGGAATTTATGTCCAATGCTTAATGACAGAAGTTTATTTGGGATATCAGCCCTTAACAACTTGCAACAATGCACAAATATGTGACCTTGACCTTTGACCCTTTCACCTCAAAGTCAATTGGAGCATAGTGTTTTCATTATAATCAGTATAGAAGTGAATCTGGAAACCATTTTATATCATATCTCAACTTTTGACCTTGAACTTTCACCTTTTTACCTTAAAAATCAACAAAAATTCAACAGGGCTTTTTTGAGTTCAAAAGAGTCAGCACTTTAAGTTTAATTTTAAAGGTTCAAAGACTATACTAACTGACCTTTGACCCTTTCACCTCAGAATCAATTGGAGCATCATGTTTTCATTATTAGACAGTATTGAAGTGAATCTGGAAACCATTTAATACAGCATATGAATTAAGTGATCTTGCCTTTCACCTTTTGACCTCAAAATCAATAAGTGTCTCCTTAAGTCAATAGAGTTATGATATAAACTTTTTTTTGCAAATCTTGAATACTTTTAGAGATATCACCTGAAAAAAAGGTGAACCATTTCATAACATATGAATGTGTGACCTTGGCTGTTGACCTTAAAATGATTAGGGGTCTTTCTTTAGTTTGAAAGAGTCATTACCTTATTAATAAAATTCACATCAAAAGCTGACAGAAAACTAAACATCATTTGGAAACCATTTTATGCAATAAAATTTATGACCTTGACCTTTTCACCTCATAATCAATAGGGATGGGGAGTTATGATACAAAATTCCACTATAAAAGCTTAAGTATTTTTAATGATATCATCTGGAAACTAAAGTGTACCATTTCGTGACCTTAATGTTTCACTTTCTGACCTCAAAATCAATACATGTAGAGGTCTTCTTCAAGTCATAGGGAGTTATGTTATTTCATTTCAGAAACTTAAGGACTTTTAGAGATATCATCTGGAAATGAAAGTGTTAAAGCACAAAGAATGATGAATGGACAGATGGACAGGATCAAATTAGGAAAAGTTGGGGGACAAATCTAAAAAAAATTATGAATTTGGTTTCTGAGCAATAATAAAAGAATGTGTTGGGAATGGCTTTTCATATTTGCACCATGGGTTGTCCAATGAGATGAATGTGAAATCACAAGGTCAAAGAGCATTACCTCGATCAATTTGGTTTTTGTGCAGTAACTTGTAAATGCTTTGAAAAGGCTGGAAAGTTCACATTTACAGTGGGTTGTTGTGATGGTGAGTTTGATAGGGACGAGTTTTGGGATCAATGGGTCAAAAATTACAGCTTCTATTGTTTAAGATAAAGAATTAAGAACTTGATAATGGTGTAGGGTGGGATATTCAAATCAGCACCATGGGTTGCTCTGATTAAACAGAGTCTGGAATTCAAAGAAATTGCCTTCTGTTGCTAAAAATAGACTTGGTGACTGTGTTATAATTTGGTGAGTTTGACTCTATTTGCAGGGTTGTCCCTATAAGAATTAAACTAGCAGGGACACATTGTTGGATACCCAGGGGTGATCTAGTCTTTTACTTATCACCCATGGGCAAACTCATCGTATGTAATTAATATGCACGGGTCAGGTTCCAGGATTCCTCTCCTGACGGGGTTGAGGGGGAATACCAGAATAACAAAGGGATTACTTCATATAGGCAGAGAAATTCCCCGGCCCCGGGTCTTAAGAACAACCCTGTATTTGGCATTTGCAATATATGACCAACCATTAAAGATATATACCACAAACCAATTTTCATATCACCCACATAGAAGAGCTAATTTGTTTTTTTCAATATTTCTTTCAATGGAAATCCAACTTGTAAATTTTATTTTTGTAAAACATTAAAATAGAACTTTAAAAATGTTTCCAGAAATTTTAATTACAGAAACAAAACTTTATACAATTCTAAAATTTTTGAAAAATTATATTGTACTGTAAAGGTACATTTTTACACTTTTCACCAAATTATTTGGCTTGGTCAAACAAAACAGATATTTGAACTTTGAGAAAAAAATTGTTTGTGTTATTTATAGGGATGTCAATTTTATTTGGACAGCTTAGTCGATTAGTCGGAGGCTTTAGTCGAACGATAGTCGAATATTTGTTGAAATTTAAACTAATTTTTCATGTTATTTTCACTATTTGTCTTTCATAGACTAGTTGTACAATATTTAACCTACGCTATCACCATTATACAACGAATTTCTGAATTATTGTACAATAAATACTGTACATCTACATTTATCCAATGCATTTGTTTTCAAAATTAATGTAATATTTACTGCACATTTTATCTATATGCAGGATATCAAACACTTACATTTTTCCTTTCTTTTTATAACGACAGTACATGTACCCGTTAATTAAAGCCATTTCTATGTGTCGTGTCAGTGACCTTTGGTAAACAATTGAAACGTGCCTCTTATAAAAACAGAGAGGGCTTGTGATAAATTTTAATTATGAGATTTTGTACAATACAATACAATCTTAAGAAGACTGCATGATATTAATATCAGAAAGCAACATCATTTAATTACGCTCATAACTGTCCCCCAATTTACTTGTATTTACAATTTTGTAACAGCTTTTTAATTATTCTTTATGAATGGTTGCATTACGTCAGATCTTATGGAATTGCAGGTTGAAACTTTATAATTTGAATCTACAAAATCAAACAATTCTTGAATGTCCTCTCCATTTACAACAATAAGTGGTAGACAATCCTTGATAATCATGTTTCTGATGGCAACATTTTTCTTTCCGGCTCTGCTTTTTTTTTTTTGGCATTTTGCGGAGAACTTACTTAAGAAAAGTTTCACTTGAAGACTGTGTTTACTACATCTATGTTTGACGGATTTGGCATACGATACATCATATATTTGATGTTCCACTGCAGAATACAAGTTCAGTTTCACATAACCTTGATAACGTACTTTTAACTGTTTTTCTATCCTGAAATCTTTTAAAGTATTCCAAAACTGTAGATTTTGGAGGCATATTTGCTGAACATAAATCGACATACAAATAATTTCATTTGAACAGTTAAACAATACCCTGAGTTTTACTTACGAGAACATTGATCTGTATATAAATGAAATGGGCGAATCCAAGTTTATTACCTTGAATTTAAAATTACTTTCAGGTAACACATTTTTAATGAATAACCGACTAAAGAAATTTTAGTCAATAGTCGGGATGATCGAACGATAGTCTAGTACTCGAATATTCGTTGACATCCCTAGTTATTTATCCTTATTATGACTTGCATACAGTTGAACTTAATTACTGTAGATGTACTTTTTTCCGTGTGGGATTAATTTCCAGTCATAATTTTACCGCGGAAATTTGTCACAGTGTACTAAAGATTCATTACAGACATATAACGACAATTCAAGATATCTGCATAATTTTATACTCGCGGATTGAACAGAAATTGTGATTCCGCGGAATTATGACACTGTGGAATAAAGTACATTTACAGTATCTTGAAGATCTTCATCTCAAATATTATAGATAACTAATCTCAATCCAGTGCCAAGTGTGCAGGTATCATTAGATCAAAATAATTATGAGTTTTATACATGAACATGAAAGCTGAAAAAGCTTTTCTTTTAAATTGTATGTATATACAGGGATCCTTCTTTACAAATTGATGTGATGATCAATTTCTTCAGCAAAAGCATTAATATCTGTATATGATTGTCTGGGTACATTTCTGAATAAATTGGCTCACAATTTGGATTCTGCATGATGGCCAACCTAAGGACATTGAACAAAAGTTAAACACCCAAAAATTACCCTTCATTTAAAATAATTGTTTTTATTAAGTTACCAACCTCATTTAATAGTTTGTCAGCTTGTGGGTCCACCTGGGACAGCTCACGAAATGCCTCATCTCCAACAAAACATATCTCATGGCCATCCTAAATTCAGTCAGAAAAGAACTAAGTGCTACTTCAAACATACCAAAAATGCTCTATAATTCCTTATTATGCATCCAGACTCCAGGAATATGTGCAGTAAAGAACAATTTCTGTCCTTGTAAAGTGAATATTTAATAAGATGTCTCCGAAGGGACTGTGTTTCACAATAGTTCAAGGAAAAAACATGTAGATGTTTCTTATACCTCCCTTTTGACCTTTTTATAACATAAGAATTAAAACTGAGTCCAACAATTTTAGGTTAAAATATGGAAGATTCTCACACGTGGATACCATGTGGTATTGAATAAAGTCTTGATTTAAATTTGTAAACTTAAAGAAAAAAAAAAGAGATCACCAACAAATCGTGAAAATGCTTTCTTTACAAAGTAAGACTACTTCTTTATGTAAAGGAGATTAAAAAAAAAGCAGTATGTTTCAGAAATAGCACTTTTAAATAAATAAAGAAATGCTACTGTTTATCACAGTTATACCTGATACAAAGGAACATGGATCCAGATTTTTTTCTACAAATGTGCAAAAACTCCTACAGAATTAGCATATTGAGAATTTGAATTTTTTTTTTCTTTTTTCTTTGTGTATGCTGTTTTCAGTTACAGCAGTAATATCAAGGAATGATGCCAATTTTCATCCTTAATCAAACTGTAATGGTGAGGGGGGTGGGAGCAATCTGATTAAAATCAGATCTTTGTTACGCTCCCAAATTCTGATGGTCACTTTACAGCGACCATCAGAATTTCGGAGCGTAACAAAGATCTGATTTTAATCAGATTGGGGGTGGGGGTATAATTTGGCCCAACAGAGTGAAAAATACTGAGAATGTTACCGGGTCTGCCAAGATGACAACTTCTACTGTAGCTTTCCCCGGAGTGTCCAGACTAATTAATGGAGTCAGAATGGTTTGATTGGCAGCTTTCATTTTGTCTTGGATCTCAGCTAACTGAAATTATAAATCAGAATATTATCAGTATCTTATGCATACCTGCATAGTTCAGCAATTGATTTAAGACAAATACCTTAACCTTTGATTTCACAAACTCAAGTTATTAAAACTGAAATATAATGTATCCAAACTTTCATTTTCATTTTTTTTAATCACTTGATTTACCTGGACCCTTGGACAGGAGAAGGCTATTCGCCCAAAAGCCTTGGCATGATCTACTTTAGCACCAATATCAACAAATTCAAGCTTGCACTATAATGTAAACAAGATAAGTATTTTATGGCTTACAGGGATGGAAATGCATTGATTTTTACCCACAAAATATCTATATTCATGAAAATTACAAAATATTGGTTGATAAGGGGAGATAATGCTTTTCTGTGAAGTCAATATAACACTTATCAGCATTGTTCTTTGTCATAGTACATGTACCTGATTATCACCATATCCTAAAACAGCAGACTTATCATCTTGGGAATAAATTTTCATCTCACATAAGGTTGACCAATAATCTACAATACAAATTTCAGGCTCTCAAAATAAAAATTATTGATTTTAAAGATAATATGAAACATACATTCATGAAAATTTTAAAGATAGAGAGAGAGAAAGGAAAGGAAGAAGAGACTAGCACTTCCTATTTGTTCAAACAGATTGTTCCTTTTTTTTGTATGTGGTACCCATTGAGACTCTACATACCTATTAAAGCCTGGTTACATGTTTTGGGATGCCAATAGATATTTTATGGTAAAAATTTCCAATCCCTAGATTTAAATGTAGTCTGTAATTCATCACTGAATCAAATGTCCCACCCCAACCCCCCATCCCCCACAATTTCAAAGCACAACTAATAATGTCTGGAAAACTGAACTATGCACAGATAGGCAGATGAATGCACTTACCTAAAGATTTCTTCAGGTTTGATGAGGCTAGTGTAACTTTCTTTACTGGATCTGTTCAATATAAGAAAGGTAAGATAATAATTCCAATAGATATATATCAAAGTTTTTTGAACTGAGAGCTTTGACACCTCTAAACAGTATCTCTTAATCTCTCAATAGTCTCATAATAAGACCTATAGCTCTGTTGATATTAACACCCCATCTAAAAAGTGAAACTATTTTCAAATTATTTTGAAGAAACAAAAATTCTATATATAGCACAGATCCCATGACCCAAGATGCAATTGCAAGTCCAACCCATTTTGCTAATATGAACATTTCATCCCAAACCCTTCCCAAGTAATTGCAATGAAACCAAATTTTTTTTTTTATATGCAACAAAGCCACAAGCTTTAATAAGTGACTCTAACAAGCAATGAAATATATACACATTATGTGAATTTCAATTTTAGACTGCTGAGTGATTGAAATTCATTTCAAAAATTGGTCCTTATGCATATTTCTGTATTAAAAAGATACATCAATAATTCCTAAGCAAGGTGAATTGCGGTTTTCAAATACCTCCATCAGACTGTTTGTCTTCTACAAAAAATTTGTGGCCATCAGGTGAAGTGAGCACATTTTTATTTCCTTCCTGTGTGATTGTGTAGTTATTCTGTTTAGCACTGGCCAATACATTTGGGGACTGTATGGTAATTCCCTGTAAATACATTCAAATCACATACAGACTATAGGTATCGTAATCGTGCTCACCTGAAAGTCTGCACCAACAGATGCATATCAAATGAAAACCATTGTTGTGGTCCATAACTGAGCTGAGACATCCATGATTTAAATATACTTAACGCTGCAGATTAATTTTACTTAAAACAAAATTGTCATTCTGAAGAAAAGTTTGTTTTTTTTTATACATAAGGCCAAGATAAATAAATAGTGTGTTTCCTATTCCAACTTGAGAAAAAATAGGGTAGGTAGGTAGGGAAAACATTTTATTTCATTTTAATATTTTATTGGCAAGCACGCTACCATTTCCCCCGGAGAAATCGCTGTCAAAACATTTCTGATTAATGTGTATAGGATATGCATTATCTGAAACATGGAAGTGAGTGAGATTAGGATTTCTAATAGTGAAACTGGAATAGCTAGTTTACTGCTGGGAAAGATATCTGCAGATAAATTTTTTGGGTCGGCTCATATATTTTAGGGTCGTTCGGGGAACCGGAAACGACACAATTTATTTATCTAGGCCTAAGTATAATGATTTCCATATCCACACATTCTTCTCTGGTACCTGTGTTTACCCATCTGTATTAACAATTTCATTATCACTGAGTCAACTTGCATTCATACATGAATACATGTCTATCAATTTTAGTATCTGCAGATGAAGTCTGAACAAAATATCTTGATTTGTTTCTTTGTACCTGAAGTTAAACATAAAATTAAGAAAAATGAGGTCAAGGTAAGGAAATATCAAGGTCAAAAAATGTTGATGCAGTTGAATAACTCTCATTAATATCAGCATATGAAGTTTGATAAAATATCTTGAATGGTTTCTTTGAAACTGAACTACACATGAATTTAAGAAAAGAGAGGTCAAGGTTAAAGGAAAGGTAAAAATGCTGATGCAGTTGAATAACTCTCATCAATATGTATCAGCATATGAAGTTTGATAAAAATATCTTGAATAGTTTCTTTGAAACTGAGCTAAATGCAAACAAGACAGATGGACAGACAGAAGGATGGGAGGACAGATGGATCGAAGATGGACATGACAAACAATATATGCCCCTGCCATAATTATATAGGGCTTAAAAATGCTTGCTTCCTATATTGAACCATTTCAAATCATAATTATTAATCTAAGTTGTACAGTAAGATTAATTTAGTTCATTACCCTGAAATCATTGCCCATTTGGTAGCTTCCGATGCCATAGTTGTAGGTCAGTTCTACCACAAAATGTTTATCCTCTGGACCATATCCCACCATTGATTTGCTCCATTTACCATCATAAGGCCTAAGAACAAGATCCCAATGTCATCAGTACTCACTTGAGTCACCACCTTACTACTCTTCACTATCACATATTTCCTTACGTTAATGAAAAAAATGAGTTTGTTAATTTTCTGAAAATTAACAATATCTTATAAACAGGTGATAGTTTAATAAGTGTTTACCCATTACAGGCTGCATCACATCCTTTCTCAAACTCTTCATGTCTTAAAATCTGAAATTTAAGGATTTAGTAAGTACAGAGGAATAAGGGTATTGAATCTCACACGAACATCATGCAGTATTTATACAACTGACTACTACAGTCATATTAAAGCCAGAATACTCTGTATGTTCCATACAAACTTCTCATGTTTTTTTTATAATTATTTCTTTTTGTTACAATTAACTAACAGGTTTACAACTTAAAAACAATAACTTTTCTGAAAATGGGTCAATTAATGTTAAACTCAAATCAGATCTACAAGTCTTCAATATTAAGAGACCTATACTAACCAGAAGTCTCTGACAAGACTGTAGCTCTACTGGTTGTACTTATAAAGTAAGATAAAAGTAGCACTTGGACTTGAAACTTTGCAACAGCAATAAAAAGAATAATGATCCTTGGTTTAGTCTCTTTTTGTGGCAAGATTTATTGTAATCAGACTGAAGCTGTAGGAGGAGTAGCCTTTTAAAAAAAATTTTGCAGAAATTTCAATTTAAGTAACTATGGCAACATCATTCATCAAAATAAAGAATACAATAACGGCAATTATGTATCTCAGTGTAGTCTACTTGTATGCCAAGTTATACTGAAATCAGACAAAAAGTATAGGAGGAGTAGCATTTTGAAAGAATTTCAAGAAAAAATTCTATTTTTAGTAACCATGGCAACACTGTTCCAATGCTGGCAATGAGAATTATGTATCTTAGTGTAGTCTACTTGTGTGCCAAGTTATACTGAAATCAGACCAAAACTATAGGAGGAGTAGCATTTTGAAAGTATTTCAAGGAAATTTCTAATTTTAGTAACCATGGCAACACTGTTCATCGAAATCAAAAACCAATATAAAGAATTATGTATCTTAGTGTAGTCTACTTGTGCCAAGTTATATTGAAATCAGATCAAAACTGTAGGAGGAGTAGCATTTTGAAAGTATTTCCAAGAAATCTCTTTTTTTAGTTACCATGGCAATACTGTTCATTGAAATCAAAATCCAATATAAAGAATTACCGTATATACTCGCCTATAAGTCGGTTTTTTGGGAGTTGTATTTTGGACCAAAACTCTTTGTCCGACTTATAGGCAAGTAATAAAAAGACTGGTATTTTAGAGAGTCAATTCCTCTAATAAAAGCTTAAAAAATACAACCGACTTATATATGGACTAACTTATAGGCGAGTAAATATGGTATGTATATTTAGTGTAGTTTACTTGTGTGCCAAGTTATACTGAAATTGGACCAAATCTATAGGAGGAGTAGCATTTTGAAAGTATTTCACAGAAATTTCTATTTTTAGTAACCATGGCAACACCATTCATTGAAATAAAAAACTGATATACAGAATTATGTATCTTATTATAGTCTACTTGTGTGCCAAGTTATACTGATATGGAACCAAAACTGTAGGAGGAGTAGCTTTTTGAAAGTATTTCCCAGAAATCTCTATTTTTAGTAACCATGGCAACATTGTTCATTGAAATCAAAAATTGATACACAGAATTATATATCTTAGTGTAGTCTACTTATGTGCCAAGTTATATTGAAATCAGACCAAAACTGTAGGAGGAGTAGCGTTTTGAAAAATTGCTTACAGACAGACGGATGGACGATGGACACCTTACTATCGCATAAGCTCTTTTGATTTCAGTCTCACTTTTACCAAAGGAATTAATCATGAAAAAGTGAGACTGAGATCAAAAGTGAGCTCGTCTAAGTTTTATGGCCCTGAGGACTGGTCTCTGACCAGTAGAGCTAAAAATCAGCTCATTATCCACAAACACAGCCACAAAATGTCCAGAAATCAGAATGAATAGACATTTTTAATGTATATCATAAGGGCAATCAATTTCATGAAAATGGGTCAATCAACCTGAATCTGGAACTTCCTACATTACTACAATAGAAATACATGTACCACTAAGCATGCCCTGCATGCACTTCCTTGAAAATTATTTTTGTCAAAATTTGATCACTATGTAAAAATATAGTTTCACAATTTGTGAATCTATGATTATAACAATGATATATGGAAATAATGAACAGTATTCAAGCTCAAAGTCCATTTAAGCAATACAAATCAGGAGCAGAGCAAACATGGACCTCTAAAAACATCAGAGGTGGGATCAGGTGCCATGGAGGAGTGAGCATCCCCTGTCGATCGGTCACACCCGCCCTGTGCTCCTTGTCATGATTGGGAAAAATGGAAAAATCTGTAGACAATTCCGTGTATAAATAATGCCCTAACAACTCTTACCTTTGGTTAACAAATGTAAATAATTATAGCTTATGAATGAGAATCTATATTTATTAGCAAAATCTATTGTTAATGTTTATTCACAGACAGATAAACTTAGATTGGTAAATAACTATAGTTAAACTATAGTTTACAACCATTAAATATAGTTTTACAGGTGAAAACTATTATAGTTAATGAATGGTTAATTATAGTTTACAGTTCGTTAATTATAGTTTACAATCAATAAATCTAGTTTATCAACTATTGGCTAATTTTTGTGAATTTGGTGTGCCATACCTGGGGGTCAGGATTCTTAATTATCTCCCCTTGAAAGAAGGCATTTCATCTGACCAAACTTACATCCTCTTCACCCAAGGATGATATAGTTGTGGTAAGTTTGGTTGAATTTGGCAGAGGTTTGCAATCTTTAGAAGAAATCAAAAATGTGAAGAGCTTACACACAGACAGACAAACATATGGACAGAAACTAGATGGACACCAGACAAAATCTGATCAGAAAAGCTCATTTGAGATTTCAGCTCAGGTAAGCTAAAAAAAATTATAAAAACTTACTTGTTCATGTTGTTCTAGATAGTATTATATAGAACTTTATATTCTTTTTAGAGAATTGGTCAGATATAGCTAAAGGTATAGCTTACATACACTTCTCTGAAGAGAATAAGCATTAAAGTGCCAGTGTAAAACAGCTTGTTGTACGTCACTGTGGGTGAAAAAGACTCGAGGACATTTAACAGTGTTTAAAATGTGTCATGGCTAATGCAATCTTAGACTACTTACTTGCATTCCTAACACATCTCTGTAGAATTTGGCTGTTTCTGTTCTGTTGCCAATTTTAAAAACAAAGTGAAGAACCCTTCTGGATGACATATTTAATATGTGTCCGTGTCTTATTAGTTATTTGCGTGTAAAACAGCTGTAGAGTCAGGCAATGAGGCATGCACACTGTCTTGTTTACATTAAGGCGGTCCTAGTTAATTTCATTCCATCGAAGATTTGGCACCCAAGCTTCATAACAAATGACCGCGTTCGATGACGCTAAAGATGGCTCTTTTGTGCGACGATTAGTTTAAAAATTAAAAATGTTATTAAAAAAAATATTATGTCCACAAAATACATGTGGTCGATACTTTTTTTTTATTGAAAATTATTTATGATTTTTTGGACTTCAAAAAAAAGAGGATCATATATTTAAAGGTGAACATATTGAGTTTATCTAGTTCATTTTCAACGTAGCATATTTCTCCAGGAAAAATGTTTGAAAACAATGACAAATCTAGATTTAAAAAGTAGTCATATTGCAGAGTTTATTTGATAAAAATTTGTCAGAAAGGACATTTCATTTTAAGAGAATAAAAGTCCATTTATATTTTCTGGTTATTAATGCTGTGCACAAGTTTATTTGTATTTGTGATTGATGTACATTCTTCATCTGATACTTTTTTAAATAAACATTACAATAATACATTTTATTTTAGTATCCTACGTGTCGTTTGCTGATTTTTCTTTGAAAATTAAATTAGGTACATGACTATGATAACCAGTGTCCATGTACTTATTTTAAAAGAAAAAAGAAAATCAGAAAACTGTTATAGTCGTGTACTTATTTTAATTTTCAAAACAAAATCAGTTGCAAGTTAATTTAAGTTATCATGGTTAATAATTGGTTATATACTATCTTAATCCCAAATTAACTTCTTACCACCACTTTTTTCCCTATTCTATGTTATTTTTTTGTGCTTTAACTAACTTAATTATCATTCAAGTATATATACTAGTATATAGGTCCCTGATTTTATTTATTTAATGTATTTAATTACTGTATTTATTTATTTATCTAATGTATTTATTTACTATATTTATTTAGTTCGTTAGTTATATTACATTTTTTACGAACGTTGAACGACGAAGGTCTCGAACGCACTCATCACTCATGAAATGTGGAAGAGTCATTGCTCCTTGTTCTTGTAAACGATCAAAACCTCCTCTCGGATACAATTAACGTTTTTCCTCTGTTAAACAATTTTAGAAAAATAGTCCATAAGTATACACATTTACAAAATGTTTTTTAGGGCTAGGGACTTGCTTTATAGTGGATTACGTCCCTTTGGATGTGTTTTGCGTCACTAAATAAAGATGGAAGCCACCAGGACAGGACATCGCATTTGCTGGTGTTTTTCTCATAAAAACAATGGACATGGTGTGTTTTAAGACGAAATGAATTATTATTAGTATTGTCATGGCCTCAGGATTGCTGGGAAGACTCGCAGGGCTATCCAGAACGTTTTTTGCAGGACTTCACACGGAGTTGCAGTTGAAAACTCGACCCACGGAATCTTTACACTTGGTGACAGGATCATCAGGCTTTTCTAAGACAATTTCTCAATCTCCAACATTTAAACAATGGACTTATGGTGATGATGCATATTTTGTGGCCAAAAATAGAACCGCTGATGTTATAGGTACGGGATTTTACATCATGTCATTGAGATGTATACATTGACCTTTTCAGATTTTTGTGCATCCTTTGTCCATGGTGTCCTTGTATTTCATAACTGATCCTTTTGATATGAACGTATTTGGAAATGTTTGGGGTTAAATTTGATGTGTACAGAAAAACATAAATGTGAGAAAATATCAAGATTTTGGATGGTTGATGAAAAACAGCTGAATCCAATTGTTTATAAACATTCTCCCGAATTTTCTCCACACAGCCAACATTTGAATGTCATACACTGAATTATATTCATTTGAATTTGTGGAATTTCAGAATTTTTTATCAAGATGAATTCTAAGAATAGATCATCTAATTGTTCGAGTTTTAGCAATTTTGGAAAAATCTTTAATATATACTAGATCTATGTAGGTCTACAGTAAACCACTAAATGACCATAAGTGAGTCATAATTGCATTTTTTACATTGAATTTATATATTTCATTGAAAAACCAATTTTTATTAAAACCTATTTTGAGGTCAATTTAAGCTCAATATTTCTATGATTTTTTTCAGTGCATTATGCAGAATTGTTCTAATTAGACTAATTTTCTTGTCTTAAAATGCTAAACAAAATACACTAATCACAGTGAGAATAATTTATGAAATTGTCAAGATAAAATTTTCTAACCTCAAATTACTATGATTTCTTAACAAATTGGAGTTGTAAAATTTTTATTTCACATTTCACATGTGATATCACCTAAATGCCTATTGATAAATTTTTTTGAAAATTAGGTTAAGAAACTGCACAGAATTTCACATATATAAAGCATTGAATCATTATTTTTTGAAAGATGTATATAGTCTCGTAACTGCAACAGTGTGTGCAAACAAATTGAGTAACGCGCATTAGTGCATTATGAAAATTTGTTTGCACACACCGTTGCAGTTATGAGACTTTATCTTTCAAAAAATAATGATTCAATGCTTATATTTACATTTTTTAACTCCTTGCCTTGACTGCAAATCTGATTTATATTTCAAAATCCCTGTATTATCCTTTGGGTAAGTTACAATTAATGGAAGAGCCATTGCAACAGCCTCTGTTTAATGTGAGCATGAATTTTGATTTTCGCTTGCAATTCCATGGCGTTCGACGTTTGTGATGTCAAAATAAAATGCATACTTTAACCTTTTGACCCCCTGTCCGTGTTATAGTATTTTGAATGCCGTAGCTTTCCTAACACTTTATAAGCAAAGTACATGTGGAATGTAAATATTTTATGGTATTTTAGTCCTATAAAATGAACAACAAATAACACTGCAATAATATTTTAGAAAAATGCATTTTTAAATGAAATTATATAGTTGAAAAATAAGATTATATGACTCACTTATGGCCATGAGCCTATAACAACATAAGGCTATTCAACCTGAATCAGAGACATATTAAATAAAAGATTTACAACTGCCATTCACAGGTTTATTCACTATGTTACTGGCCCAGTATTATTCTTAAAATTACTCTCAGGACTTTAAATTTATGGTTTTATATTTTGATCAAAATTTAATTAATATTAATTCTGCTATATGTGGGTGTATGATAATTTGTACAGTTTTAAAACTATACATTGATTTATAAAAGCAAATAGATCCATTTTAAGTTTGATATTTTAATTAAAGCGGTCAATGATTGAAATATGGCTGACCATGGCTGGGTCACTTTTTTGCAGATTCCTCCTTTGTTTTTATATTAAATAAAAAAAACCTTACGAAAATATAACATTCTTAATAATTTTTTGATATGAACAAAAAGGTTTTACTTCATTATCCTTGTTAATATTAAAGGTTAATTGGATTTAAACAGTGCATCAGGTTTAGAAAAGAGCAATGAAAGGTAAAGTTTAACATGGTAATAACAGGCCCATCACAAATTGCGAGATTTCCTTGCAGTTAATCTCTGTTATTCATGTCCCTGCCCTGAATGGAACATAAAACTCAGCAGATTATGTCTAATTTATTTCAAGGGTGCTTTGATTAAGAAAGGATATCATGCTTCTCATCCCATGATGATTCACAATTTCTATTCATTGACAACTTATTTTTCTGTTGTTTTCTGTTCCATGTTTTTCATGTCACTAAATTGGTTTTTGGATATATTCTTCCATTCACATGACATAATATATTGTACACACAACATAATTTTATAAAACTTTTTTTTTCGGTCTATGTGATTATATATTTACAAATTTAGTACTTTGTTGCCTTGTTAACTGTTGAATGATCGAAAAGTAAAAGCTGGGAACCTTCTTCCTCAATTATTGTTGTATTATTAACTAACTATAAACTAAATAACTAACACACCTTAGATTCAGACAGCAGAATGCTTATACCTGGTATATTAAATTCATTTCTAGGTATGACTGTGTTTGTATGTATAAAATTTGATTTTTGCTTTTAGGGGTAGCTGATGGTGTCGGAGGATGGAGAAATTATGGGATAGATCCCTCTGCGTTCCCTAGATCTTTAATGGAAACCTGTGAAAGAATGGTGAGAGAAGGCAGATTTAATGCTCATGCTCCAGCCACTGTCATCGCTGCAAGTTACTATGAACTCCAGGAAATGAAAACACCACTAATAGGTATTGTTGTTTATAAGGAAAGCTTTTAAATTGCCTGTTTTTACCATGTTTACAGGAATTTGAACACCCATTATTCTCCCATTCAAAGAAAACTAGACATATCACTTTGTAGTTTAAAATTATTTAAGAACATATGGTTTGTTTTCTGTTGTGGAAGTCTTTTCCTTAATACATATCAGGACTGCTATTGTCTAAATACACTTTGAATGATTAAATTTTACAATGTTTGATACAATTGCCAAAAAAAAGTAAATTGAACCAAAAAAAAAATAACAAGAAAACTTTGATTAAAAAGTCTGAATTAAACCCCCTCCCCTTCAAATCTGATCCCTTACAGCCCCAAATTTGGTCAGTTTCATGCAACCAGATAAGAATTAAGACTTCACAAAAATACAGAGTTCTAAGCATTGATTATAATTATTGAGTATTTCAATGAATTTGTTGGTCCAGTTTATTAAAAATAGAATAAATGGTATCACTAAATTATTTTGAAAACAATGCTTATCCAATTTTTGCCTGATTTGAATGAAATATTCTCATTCAACATCATAGCTTCAAGCTGTCATTAATATAGGAGTTATAAATGCTACCAATTTCTGAACTACTGTACACAGAGAAATTTTCGCCCCCGTTTTATTTTTGCCTCTTTCACCCTTCTCACAGGTGGGCGAATTTAAAACGGGGCGAATTCAAAGAAGATAGTATAATTTCTTAAACAGAACTGCAATTGGGCGAATTTAAAATGGGGCAAAATTGTTTGCAAGTGTGAAAGGGCGAAAATAAGATTGGGCAAAAATAACCCTGTATACAGTAGTTAGATCAATTTTGTTTGAAAGATTTGAGGTGTCAAAGGTCAACTGTGTCATGGATCTCCCATCAATTTATCATACAGGTCAAATAATCCAATATTTTAAGTACTTTCACGCACTTTATATGAATAATTTATACAGATAAAATATAAACAATAAACTGTCTTTGTTTGTTTATATGGAGATGATCCAATGAATGGTTGCAATCATTGCAGAAAAAATAACATCACTTACACAGGTTATGTATTTTTTTCTGCAATATTGCATTTTTTTTTATCTCCATGTAAATATAAAAAGCAATATATTGTTTAAATGAAGGCACCAACAAAAAAAATTCATAAAATTTTATTACCTTTCATATCGAAACAAATTTCAAAGGTGAAATAACTGTAACAGTGACTGAGCATTTTTTTCCAAAGAGACTGTCAAAAACTCAGACTTTTAGAGTACAATTTCAATGAGACATTTCTGGTTTAATAATATGGTATGTCTGTTTCTTTATTTAAAATTACTTGCAAAGTTTTGAAAACTTTACAATGTAGGTAGCAGTACAGCTTGTATTGTGGCGCTGCATAAAAAGGAAAGACGAATATACACAGCTAATCTAGGAGATAGCGGGTTCCTCCTAATCAGAGATGACAAGGTTGTTCATCGCTCACAGGAGCAGCAGCATTACTTCAATACTCCCTTCCAGCTTGCAGTGGCCCCACCTAGCCAGGCGGGGCTTGTCTTGAGTGACAGGTGGGTGGGTGTAAACTGATCTACGAAAACTTAATCTGCAGCTAGAAAAAATAGGAGTTGTCAGTGTCACCAAAATGGGGTTTCAACCGTTTCATTTTAACACTCAATTTCTTCTTTTTGCATGAGACTTGAGGGTTTCATTTGTAAAACCATAGCTTCTGCAATAAAAGAAAAAAAAATATTTTTAGTGCCAAGTATTATTTTTTATCAAAAAAAAATGAGAGACTTGGTAATATAAAAGTAATGTCATTGGCCTTTTGGGTATGTCAGCAGTGCTACAAAGATTTCCATGAAGATTTTCTGAAAATGTACAAGGCTTTTGTGAGCTCAAAATTTTACTACAATACACAAAATTAAAAGTTTTGAAAATATGTTGAGGGCACCTTATGAAAATGAGGTGTTCCAGTGTAAGGTCATTTGTCATGAAAAGACAACTTTGTTTTCTTGAGCAGATTGGTCCATCTGCCTTTTATTTAGAATTTATTGTAATATCAATTTAATATAATATTGAAGTGTGTGTGTTTTTTTTTTTAAATTTCCAGCCCAGACATGGCAGAAAGTTCATCATTTGATGTAGAAGAAGGGGACATAATTTTACTAGGAACAGATGGTCTATTTGACAATATGAATGAAGACATGATTTTAGACTGCTTAAGTAAAATGAAGGTATGATTCACTGTTAAATCATAAAATCATTGTTTTGTCTCCTTTCACTGATAACTGGAAGAAAAAAAATTAATTTATCATACTTGGAAGTTTTGTTCAAAGTTGCTCAAGTTTACCATTAGCAACAAAGAGAAAAATGATCTGGAGCTGTGTATCAGGGTATTTGATTTCATTATAGGATCATAGAGACTCTGAAGTCAATGTTCAGCGGACGGCACATCATATAGCAGAGGAAGCGTATCAACTGTCATTTGATCAAGATTACTTGTCACCTTTTGCTTTGTCGGCACAGCAAAGAGGAATAGATCTCAAGGGTATGTTTTACTGCAGAGATTTTATTGCATCATTTGTATTATATATCTGATCTGTGTTATCACACCATCTTTGTTTTATAACTTAAGAGTCAAGTTAAAGTTTTTTGTCACATACAATTTAATGTATTCCTATTTTGCTGAAATGTATCCTTCAGAAATATTGATTGATTAAAATATTCATAATGCTAGGCCTGTTTTTCATGAAAGTAAAAACTCCAATATCATAGAGTTTAGTTCAGTTGATTGCAATTTAAATATGCGGGGAATACACAGTCCTATTTTAATTGAAAAGGTTACTTTTGCAGGAGGGAAACCAGATGACATCACCGTGTTACTAGCTCGTGTGTCGTCCTGTTCTAACGATCAGAATGTGGAAATATGAAATAATTCTTCACTGAATGTGAGACTGTGATTTTTTAGCTCTGATGGTCCAGATGAGCTTATGCATTGGTAAAGTGTTTTTTTTTCTGTTTGTCTGTATGTTGGTAGTCAGTTTTTGAAAATACAATTTTTGTTTGAATTGACAGAAACCTGTCACAAAACTTGATTATCTGTTATAGATACTTAATTCCATGCATCAAACTTTTATCATGTTGAATGATGTTGCCACTATTATTGAAAATAGAATGAAAAAAAATTCTGCTGAACACATTGTAATATTTTGTTCATTTAACAGAGTGTTTTTATTTTCATACAAAAATCATATAAAGGGAAATTTTATAAACCTCTGACACATGTTTTCTCCCATTGTTTTAATTTTAGAATTCTCAGAATCCTCTTGTTGAAAGCATTTCTTCTTTATCGTTTCCATGCTGAAGTTATTTTCCCCACCATATCATTTTATTCAGATCAACCATTTCATCATGAAATCTTTCAATCCACATTTCATTTTGCTAAAGGTGACAGAGAGCTACGTTCTGATATATTTGACTGTATAATATATGTACAGCTACATTTTTGCTGCAGATTATTTTCACTGTGTTCAACTGTGATTGAAGATGTGCTGCAATTATATTAACTTGATATACTTCTAAGGATAAATGTATGTAAGAAAAAAAAGGGCATATTCATAGCAGATAGAGAATGGATTTTGTTTCAAAAATCTAAAGAAAAGAAACTTGAGGGAATTGAAAATTTGTAGGTGGTACTCGGAAATTTTCACCAAATGCATTCAAAATGTTTTAAACTAGCCCTATTAAAGTTTTTTTTCTTCTTTTCAATGTTAGATTTAGACTTCTAAATTTATGCACCTATGAATAAGACACACAAGATGTAAACAATCATGAGTCATTTATAGTTTTCTTGTAATCTGAGTTGACAAGATTTAGGTAGTCATTTAGGTTTTGTCTTTTCTTTAAGCTTAGACATTACCTATATGATAATTGAGAGAACAAATATTTTACAGAATGAAAGTAGAAAAGTGATAGGTAAAAATTTAGTTGCATGCACTGATGATTTTTTTTATCAAGAATGGTGGTAATCACCAATAATACAAAATTCACTAATGACATAATGTATTATTTTAGTGGATGACTCTCCATCAATTAATGATGAATTCTAGGGTTGTCAGTGAGAAGCTTGTTTACGGTGTACTAGTCTCTAGGTCAGATAACAGAATACCGATATTGTTACCCTAGCTGTTACCCAGGAAAACATACATCTTAATTATTTACTTAATTTTTTTTAATATTAAAATGAATAATTAACAGACAAATCAAAGTTCCAAGTAGACATTAACAAGTAATTACTGGTACAATTAGAATTATGGCCTACTGTTCAAAAACTTAAAAGGGAAAGTTTTCACAGAAAATTAAAGTGCTTCAGGGATCCCACCACCCAAATTTAAATTTTGGAAATTTCTAAAATAATTAAAAAATTTACAAACAGATAATTGTACCAGGTGACTTATACATGTGGTTCAATAAAGTGAATTATTTATGTATACATACCCCTTTATTATAAAACAATAGAAAATGTATTTCTTTGTCTGTATGAAGACTGCAGTAAAAGGGATAAGTATCTGTATCCAATGTACTTATACAGCAGGCATAAAATGAAGAAGCCACTTTTTTTCTGATTGAGTAACAGGGTACTAACATTATAGGTACTGGTGATTGCCTGATTGGTTCCAAGATTTTCATAGATTTCTGATCAATTTGAGAACCCTATTAAATTTGTATCATTTTTTAATCATTGATTGATTGATGAAATAATACTCATTCTGAAGTTTACTATCAATATTGGATGATCTATTGCTTTCAATCAGTGACATGCTGTATTTTGTGTTATTAGTGGACATTGTAACATTGGTGATTTATAAATTACAACACAATTATATGTATATCAAAAATGCAAAGAAAGACACACGTTTGTGTTAAATTGTATATTTGGGGGAATTTAAATCATTTGTAATACATGTACATTGATAAATGAGCCATATCATAAACAAAGCCTCATCTATGTATGAATTGATATATATATGTATTATGTATGGAACTTAAGTGTGGCATTACCTGTGATTTTCATGTTTGGTTGCATGAAATCAGTGAGGGGAAGATGTGAATTATTGTTTTATTATTTTAAACATTAACATTTTTTTTTTGTTGACTTTATTCATAGCAAAATGTTTAAAAGCCTAGAATAGAATCAGAAGTTTTTGTTGCTGTTTTATGAAGGAAGGGAATCCATAACCAGGACAAAAATGCAGTTTGGATGCTACGAGTTGTGTCTACTTTTGTTAAAACAAAATGTATTTAGATATTCTGTTGTTTAGGATTGTGTTTTGTGTATGTTTCTGTGAAATGTTTTTTTTAAATGCCTTTTGTAATGCAGCATTTCTAATTTTGTACATGCATGCTCTTTTTTTTTTTCTTTTGGTTGTTCAGATCGAAGTATGTAGGTTTGGACAAGTATTACATATAGCTTTAATGTGGTAAAAGATATGAGAATTTTAAATAAGACTGAAAACTCTTGACAAAACAATCCTAGTCATCCTAAGGATTCCCCATTCTTCCATCTTTTCTCTTTGCAGTCTTTTTTTTAAAGAGATAAAAGTATCCATTCAAGACTTAAGAATATGCATCACCAGTAAATACGTATACATTGTACACTTAAAAAGTGTTAAATATAAAACCAACCTTTTAGAAGATCTTAATTTTTACCAAGAGACATATTTCTCAGTGTTTGGGATGCTAACTAGCTTGTTCTACAATGCCAAAATATTTTGTTTTCTATGAAAAGGCATTGACCTTGCCATCTTGGCATTATTATGATAGGTTGAAATTAATGCTTCTCTCGACTTGTCAATAACATTCAGTCTAGCATATATAATTAAATCAAGGAAGAAAAATTAATGGATACAAGGCAAAAAAGTTTTTTTTAAATGTCAGAAACTTTTCCATTAAATAATTGACTTGTAAGCTTTCTCTGCAGTACATGTATATTTATTGGTTTGCTGTGCACCACTTCAATATTGAAATATAAATTGATCATTGTCCAAGGCAAGTAGTCTATTTTGAGTTCATCATTTTTAATCATTGGTTATAGAATATGATTGAATAGCCTATTGATTGTAGCAATGTGTCAATGAAGCACATATTTATAAGTAAATAAACCACTGCCACAAAGTTACTTCGGAATGAAAATGTCAGATTTAATTTACATGAAAATTGTATATGAATATATTAAAAAAAAAAAAAAATAAAGAAAAGAGAAAAAAGTTAATATAGAGTGATCACCTGTTAAATATATATAATGATAATTAAAGTAATTAATGTATGATATTGAATTGCTTGCATAATAATAATTATTAAATGTTTCAAATATAGGTCCAATATTATATTTAAACAAGTGAGCTTGACATTTGTTGCATTGCTTCTCTTGTCAGAACTCTTCTTTAGAAGAAAACAGGAAGGGTAGGCCAAAGACTGAATGAGAGCAAGGAAGATTTCTGTAGCGGTATTGATTTTTTTTTCTGTGTTTTTGATTGTTCTCAACTGGACACTGCTTGTTTAAAACAAGTTTCTACAGAGAGTTGTTGCCAAATTTTGTAAAATGGTGACCTTGAAACATTTTAAATACCTAGTACACTTGGCAATCAAGTTTGTTGTTAAAAAGGTGCATAAAGTCGAGACCAGTACTGGTACTATACTACCCTTACCTCAGGTACAATGAAGAAGTAAAGAAAAAAACTATATACATAAGATAACCACCAAAACAATTGTTTCAAATTGTCTTTAAAATTATATAAACATGATAGAGATTATGAAAAGAACAGGGCAAGTGCATAGAAGTGAAATTTGTTCCAAAATAATTCCAAAAACAAAAAATAAGACAACATACCAAAAAAAATCAATGCATTGAATGTTCTGCATAATCTCTTAGTAAAAAAAAAAAAGGGGAACAATTTTCTGTTGAAAGGCCAGAAATGGTTAGGTGGAATGGTTTTACTTCAGCCATAGTTTGATGTTTACAACTAAAATCTGTATAGACATGTAGTTAATAAGTACAGTTCTTCAAAAACTTCAAAAGAGTATATACTAGATGAAAGGAGACAAGTCCTTAGTATTAGGATTAATCGTACCAAAAATACTTCCAAGAATTAAATATTTGATATAGTAATGCTTTGTGGTTCTCAAATTAATATATATATATATATATATATATATATATATATATATATATATATATATATATATATATATATATATATTATATAATTTTAGAATAGTTAACAAATTTAAAAACTGAGTTATGAAAATTTTATACATTCTCAAACCACGTACCGGGTATTTTTTCCGAACTTTGCGACTACTTGAAATTGATTTCTATGTTCCAACAATTGATGCAACTCAAAGTGGGCTATTTGTCACAAAAATGTGCATATGTATTGTAAAAATAGTATGATATGTGTATTTTATTTGTATAATCTGGTAGAACTGATACATTCCTGTACATATTGTATATATAAAGTATGAGAGTTTATTGAGGGACTACTGTACAAGTCTGAGGTCTGCTGTAGACTTTATATAAGGAACTGTGCATTTGTCAGGTTAACAACCATACATGTGCCATTGCATTATGCTTTTTTTTTTTACATGTAACTTAGAGATGATTAAATCATTCAATTGATCTTAATCTTACACATGGTTTTTTAATTTATTTGTAAGAGAATATGAATGTTTAAGTACAACTGCATGTATATGTGTGAGTTTTATTGTGTCAGTATGTTTTTGTTTTGTTTTCAGTTTGTATTTTATGGTATTAGCGCTTTCGAGACATTTTATATTAAACACTGCAGCGCTATACAATTAATGTATATAATGATGATAATTATAACCATTTCAAATATTTTACTTTGATATTTGTGATATTCTTAACAGTAAGAAATTGTACACATTATTTTGATTTGAGAATAATCAAGTTTTAAAATATTTTTTTCCACTTGATTTTGATAAAGAAATATCAATTGTCATCACAAATTGACTTGGCAGGTATGATTGA